AGGCAAGTTGAACAGAAAAATGAGACTCATACTGGGGTTGAGGGTAGAGACAATGATAGGAGAAAGGAGTACAAAACTACCAGCTCTAAAGAGAGTGGTCCATTAGGAAACCATGTTTTGGGACTTTGTTTTTAGAATTGGGTTTTTTTTTTTTTTAAGATTTTATTTATTGATTGATTTGAGAGAAAGAGAGAGGGAGAACATAGAGGGAGAGGGAGAAGCAGGCTCCCCGCTAAGCAGAGAGCCCAGTATGGGGCTCGATCCCAGGACTCTGAGATCGTGACCTGAGCCAAAGGCAGATGCTTAACCAACTGAGCCACCCAGGTGCCCTGGGGTTACTTTTTATCATAGGATAGAACACCCCAAATGGAAAAATAGACGGAACAATCTGTTTGAAGCAAAGAAAAAGCTTGAACTGCTTCTAGACACACAGTGCATCCTGTCTTGCCACAATCAAGATGAAAGACTCAGGCTGCCCACCAGCCCTGCAAAAAGAAATCGCAGATTCTCAACCAAGCAAAGCTGTGGGTCCTTGGCCGTAAACCCCAGATCCTGCAAAAACATGAGTCGGGAGGAGCCGAAACTCTGGGTGATGTGGGACAGTATGAGTCCCCAGGGGGATGTTGTTCTGCTCAACACGGGTCAGGGTGTTAGCTGAAATTTCTTACTGGATTTTTTTCTCTCACTCAACAGTGTTGACTTCATTCATCATCGGTATCTTGTATGGGTTTAACGATGAACCCGCAGACCCTCATCTTCAAAGATAACATTGCCTGAGCCATGTCTTAGGTGTTCCCCTGCAAGCAGGAAGGACTTTTCTGCAATCATCTACACTCTCCTGGTCCACTTTGTGACCTTGGCTGACCCTGGGTACAGCTGGCCAGGGTCCAGTCGGTCATACATTTGGGAGCTAGACAGCGAACCAACCTATTCAGGAATCAGCTCAATGTCTTCACTCATATCCACACATCCCAGCCAGCAAAAGCCGCATGATATAATCAAATACTAGTCCTCTAATCAAAGATGTCCCTTGACCCAGGTATTGGGAGAAAATAAACAACCTGGTTGAGAGGGGGAAGGACTGTAGGTAGACAAAGTGGATAAGGCAACGGAAATCTAACCTTCCTTGTCTATGCTCTACCTCTTCCCCTGTTTTAATCCTGAAGAAACAAAACATCAGCAGGACCATTGTTAGGCAGTATGGCCCCTTTCCTCAAGATATTTTAGTGCCATCTGCAAGAGTTTTGTTGCCATAAACACGTAAATGTCTAGGATGCTAATGGTATAGCTTTAGGCATAGTGCATTTGTGCAGTGCACAACCTGCACATCCTTAGGCACTGGCTGTGGAGACCAGAGACCTACATGATGGACCTTCACCTGGCCTGAGTTTAACTTAAAAAAAATGGAAAGAAGGGGGGCACCTGGGTGGCACAGTCTGTTAAGCAACTGACTCAGTTTCTGCTCAGGTCATGATCTCAGGTTCATGAGACTGGGTGCCCTCCCCGCAACACACACACACTCAGGCTCTGCCCTGAGTGCCAAATCTGCTTCAGATTCTTTCTTCATCTCCCTCTGCCCTTTGCTCTGCTTGTGCATGCACTCTTGCTCTAAAATAAAGAAATATTTTAAAAAAAATAGTTTATTATGTAATGTTAGTCACCATACAGTACATCATTAGTTTTTGATATAGTGTTCCATGATTCATTGTTTGCCTGTAACACCCAGTGCCCCATGCAATACATGCCTTCCTTAATACCCATCACAGACCTCACCGGTCTCCCCCACCCCTCTGCCCTCTGAAACCCTCAGTTTGTTTCCCAGAGTCCATGGTCACTCATGGTTCATCTCCCACTCTTTCATTTTTCCCTTCCTTCTCCTAATGTCCTCCAGGCCATTCCTTACATTCTACAAATAAGGGAAATCATATGATAATTGACTCTCTCTGCTTGACTTATTTCACCAGCATAATCTCCTTCAGTCCTATCCATGTTGATGCAAAAGTTGGGTATTCATCCTTTCTGATGGCTGCATAATATTCCGTTGTGTATACGAACCACATCTTCATCCATTCATCTGTTGAAGGGCATCTCGGCTCCTTCCACAGTTTGGCTACTGCGGATATTGCTGCTATGAACAATAGTGTGCATGTGCCCCTTCTTCTCCTTACATCTGTATCTTTGGGATAAATGTCCAGTAGTGCAATTGCTGGGTCATAGGGTAGCTCTATTAAATAAACAAATAAATGTTTGAAAAAAAAAAAAGTTGGCATTAAGGTGATACATGGAAAGGAGAATCTGACAGAAGTCATAGGTGGGGATAGAGATTCTCTCATTCTTTTGCTGTGTGCAGGAGGAACAACCAGCTAGTAAATGGAGCTGAATAATTGCATGAGTGCCCTGGAGAGCTAGAAATGTAGGTGCCTCACAGGCTCCGGCCACCATCCAGCCCCCCGGCTCCCCTGGCAAGGGCAGAGGCACTTTGCTGGGTGCCAGCCAGCTTCTTGGCTCTACATCCAGGGACTGTCTACCGCAAAGGGTGCCCCCAAGAGGCTCTGGGGTCACTGGGAGTTTGGGCTCTCATTGGTGCCTTTTGTCTGACTGTTTACCAAATGAAAACGCTGTGGGCTCAGGGCACAGCGCCGAGGGACGTTGTGTACCGGACTTGCCATCTTTGCTTCTCTCTTTGTGGGGGGTCAGGCAGAGAGGAAGGAAAGAATGAGAACAAGTTTCTTCCCTGTGCTCTCTTCCACTTAGAAAACCTCAGCTCAGGATGCAGGAGACACTCGGGGCCGTCCTCACCAGCACACTTACTGACACCTGCTGAGTGTGGGCCATCCACCCGCCTGGGTACACGTTGTGTGTAAAGCTAAGCTGCCCGCAGACAAGCGGAGAGCAAGCAGCTGTCCAAATGAACTGGTGCTGGAGGAATTTCTGAGTCAAATGACACACACTTAGAAACACCTACGAATGCAGCCGTAGGAAAAAAAATACTGAAATTCTGATATGAACCATCACTTTGTTCTCTTCTTCACCACGACCTTCAACTAGCTCGTATCTCTAGCCTTTCCAGAAAAAGATCTGTTGTGAATAAAGACAACCGTTAGGTCCTGACCTTATTGTCTAGTATCTCCCAGCCCACGTGGGATGGTGCGGCATAAAATACGTTTTTAATAACAGCCGCTACCAAGCTGTGGGAGAGCCGGGGTGGACGGTCGCCTGTCCAGGGAGGAACAGGGACCTAAGTTGCTGTCAGTTCCCCGGAGTGCGGCCTGGACAGCAGTCTGCTGAGAAAGTGGAGGAACAAAAGCCCAGCGTGAGCGTGTGGCCAGAGTGGGTAGAGAGGGGGAGAGAGAACTTTCCCAGGGCTGAGATTCTATGGAGAAACGCAGAGGAGGGAAAATTCTGCACACGTTCCGTTGTGATGGAGCCAGATGGAGGGCTGACGAAGTTCAGAGAGCCAGCCGGGGACAGGGGCAGTGGGCGCTGGGGGGCACGCTAACAACGTGTGGATGGCTGAGTTGATTAAATTAATCAGTGAATTGATGAAAGGCAAACAAGGACCAGACGCTGGAAATATTGAACAGTGCTGAAGGACATCAAAGTACAAACTTTGGTGTTGGACTTTGGACAAGTTATTTAAACTCTGTGAGCCTCAGTTTCCTTATCTGCAAAATGGGGATAATGGCATTTACCCTCATAGGACCTTTGCAGTGGTTAAATGACCAACGAGAATAACTTGGTTTGCACAGTGTTCGGCACATACAGTGAGCCCTCAACTGCTCGTGCCATTCTTATCATGATCATTCCTATTGCTATGACAGATGGTGACCCATTTGCATAGGGAACTCCTGGAAGCTGGTGTGCTTTCTTTCATTCCCATACCAGGCCCTATGTCCTCCTGGGATTCATTTTTCTTTCAGGGTGAACTAGGAGCTTACTTTAGGCTTATTTTACCAGGACAAAATGTTGGAGGGAGATTTCCCTGAAGTTCAGAACTGTAATCATGACCCCCAACCTCTAGTCTCCCTCCTAGGTCCCTGACATGCACAGCCTGAGAGGCAGAAAGCAGGAGCAGGGGCTCCTAGGCCTGGGAACCCTGTGGTTTGGTGGGTGTCCAGTAGGGGGAGCCAGCGAGTCGTGGCTGCCTTGGGGACCTCTGACAAGAGCCATCAGCAATTCCAGGAGTGGGGAGGTCCAGGTGAAAGACCAGGACATCAGCACAGCTCTCTGGGTTGTTTGGTTTTTGCTTTAGTTTTAGTTTTTGTTTTTGTTTTAATTGTGCGCTCCAGGAAGTGCACCTGAGTTAGAGTCCCACCATCACAGAGCAAGCCACAAATACTGAATTTTAAGAAGAATGAGAGAAGAAATGGACTTTTCAATTGAATTTTAGATTCCTCTGTTATGGAATGTTTGCCTCCTGTCCAGTAAAAGGCAACAGCCTTTGTCCTGGGATCCTCACCTGGAAAGAAGGACATTTCAGGGAAGCATTTATATGTTTGTTTCCTCCTCACTGGGAAAAAGGGCAGGTCGGTTTCCAGAAAATGAACTGCCTACCCCTTGCCCTCCCCACCCTCACACCACACCCCTCAGGGCTTTGCTGGATTCTTACACTGGTGCAGAAGCTGTGTGGAGTCTAAGAGAACGAGAAAATTCCACCCGGGAAGCAGTCCCTTTGCTCTCTGAGTCTACAGTGTAGCAACTTTACCCTCAGTTTTTAGTTTTAAGTGGTACCATGTTGGTCTTTTTTAGTTAGAAATATTCACCCAAGTATTTCAGGGTGAGGGTGGGAGCTAGAACAGGAGGGGAAGAAAAAGACGAACTTGCAGGATTGTCCCTGGGTACAGACCTTGGAACGCCGCAGGAAAATGGCAAAGCTGCTGGCACCAAATCAAGAACAGAGTGGGGCGGGGGGAAGAGGGAGAAGGAGAGGAGAGAAACATCAGCAGAGAGAGAGAGAGAAAGAGAGAGACTGAGCGAGGAAGAGAAAGAGAAAGAGACAGATATCAGGTGTAGGACAGGGGACTGGTCCTTGGCAATGCTTTGGCCGGGTATCCTGAAGTGGGAGGAGAAAGCAGAGGGCACGGATATGCCGAGCGGGGTTCTGAGTACGAAACTGTCAGGTGCCTCCTCCCAGCACTATCTGCTCCGGAGCACCCTCCCTCTTACTGGAGCCTCGCCGCACTTTATCAGCCAGAGCCTTCTGCCCCCGGGAAGCCAGCCGGCGCGTGAGTACCCTCCTCATCTCTCTTCATTTCCAACTGTCCCCTGTTACCAGCTTGTCTGCTTACTCCTAACTGTTGCTCCTGCACCCTTTTCTTTTTTTAGTGGAGAAATATGCCACATATGGTTGCAATTGAGTGGAAGCAGCAAAGTCAGAATCCTGGAACTGGAAAGCAAGTTACCAAAGCCGCGGGCTTCTTGCTAAAGCCTGCAAGCCATGTCCTTTGCTCATGATTTCTGAAACAGGGTGCAAGCCCCACATGAGCTCTGTGTGCAAGAGGGATTCGAGCAAGGGGTCCACTTTACGTGCCAAATGACTCTGGGTTCACCCAGGCTGGACAGGAGTTTCAAACCGTGTTCGTGAAATAGTTGAGTGAAGTTGGAGACGTATCAAAAAAAATGGGGTACAGGGAATGGCCCTTTCCAAATGTGGCTCTGCGCCCCTCCCTGCGTGTGCCACTGAAGGGAGCGTGCTTGCTACCCACCGGGACAACCTGGGGTCCAGCCTTAGCAGCTTCTTTGCAGCTGCATTTTCTGGTGTGGAATTCAGACCCCAGAGCTTCTGGGAGTGGTGCCTTCTGAGGACAGAAGTGTTTTCAGCAGGAGATAGGAGTACCTGACAGCATTGTCTTTGTTTCTGCTTACAGCTTTAAAGAAAACTGAGCACCTCCCACCACTTCGAACCCAAAACTACCTACAATAAAGACTATTGTAAGTACCAAATAAATGTCAATACTGAAATTCTATTTATGTGAGAGCAGGAACGTTTAAATGTTTTCTTCTATGTCTATACCCAAAACTTTGTTTTATTTTTTTAAAGTGATGCTTGAGCCACAGAAAATTGAAGACTTTCAGGTCTCTCCAATTGCACAGATTTCTAATGTACGCTGAGTTTTATTGCATGTAAGCAAATAGGGAATGTTGGTTGAATTGAAATCCTGATATCGACTCGCATTAGAATAAGTACTGCTTCGTTTCACTAATGAGTTGGGTTATGAGAGGTGATTTCTGACTCCTGCTGGAAAGCTCACCAGGTGTTGCTTCCAGAATACTCCTGGGATGTTCACTTTCGCACCTATGGGCTTGTTGTGGATGTGTCAGTGGCACAAAAGAATGAGGCTCGCGTTGAGGTACATGTCTGTTTGTCAGAAGAGTTCCTGCTTCCAGCAAGGGCATAGGGTGAAAGTAGGGGTGGCAGGGTCCTTGGCTGTTGTTCGCCCCCACCCCAGAGTTATTTCAAGGCAGCCATGAAGACAAGCCTGTGTGCATTATGTCACAAAGCCCTGACGCGCACTGCAGACCCCGTCACTCGGGAGCTGCTCCTTCACTGTTTACTTGAATAGAGTCTCAGGAGGCAGTAATGTGCTTGGCGCCAAGAAGACAAAGATTCCCTGTTGCATAAAGCTGACTCTGCCCAGGAGACTTGGATGGTCTCCACTCTGAACCTCAGTTTCCTCTTCTATAAAGTGAAGGCTTGAGCTATGTACTCTTTACAACCTCACCTGGATTCCAGATATTTCTCTCTGGGCTCTAAGAAAATACGATGCTGAGGTCAAGGATATTGTCTTCCTAGATGTGTGTGATTTTGGTGATGGGGGGAAATGGGAGTTTGCAGAGACCAAAGGGGGTAAACACCTACACGGAGGGAACGTGACAGTCCCTGTTTGTCTCTTTCTTTTTTCCTTTTTTTTAAAAAAACTGCATATAAAATGAGAGTCTTACCACTGGTTTTCCTTAATGCTCTTCTTTATCAAACAAACAAACAAAAATATGTAATGCAACCCACAGACATTTCTGTTGTACTTAACTAGCCAGCTAGTTTAACCATGGATAAACACATACACGCACCATTTTTTTCCCTAAGACATGTCAATAATATTTTCCACAGTTGTGGATTTTTCAAGGCAAGCCAGTAAAAGAAAGTAAAAATTAAATAAAGGAGGGACAAAAAAGAAAAAAAAAACAACACCACACGTACACAACTTTTCCGGAACTTATGAAGGAAGAATGATATCTTTGAATGCAAGGGAGGATTTTTGGTTTTTGCTGGTTTTTTTTTTTTAATAAAACTTACAAAAAGTTGCCACACTTGTTGACTTCAACTAAGAATTGTTTATCATTAACAAGGTGATATCTAGTGTTTAACAATTCTTGTTCTGATACAAGACAAAACGTCATTTAGCAGCCTCTCAGACTGGGCTCCTGCTGCCCATGAAGACAGTGGCTTGTATCTTATTACAGAAAATAGAGCCCACCCCACGCCTTCTTCTATTTGTAAAGAACAAGGCTGCAGGAAATTGTTGCGTTGGTGTTGGCCCCTTAACAGTCTGCCTGCAGCCGGTCAGAGCCTGAAGCCCACCCTTCCCTGTGGCCAGGCTTCATTCAGCTCTGCTAGCCTCCCTCTGGTAGAGAAACACGGCAGAGCAAAATCTGTGCATTGGTTTCTGTGCGCGAGGTTTACTATCATTTTTTTTTTAATTTAAGTAAAGTAAAATGCACGTCCCATGTCTGTAGTGAGCTCACTGTCCCTCCTTGCTGCTGGAGAAGGCTGCCTTGTCCGTTGGGGTCTCCATCTGGGGTCACGGCTGGGCTCCCAGGACCCCTTGGGGGCACTCCTGCCTCCCTCCATCCTGCATTTCCCAGGCTCATGCTGCTAATTCACGTCTTTTTGCCCTTTGTCAAGTATGGAGAGAAAGGAAGGATGAATGGACAGTCTTTGATTGGCGCCGCTGGTGATGCCCCTCGTGGTCCTCTTTGGAAGGACCGTTGTGGAGATGAGGCTGGTGAGGCCGGGCTCCGAGGCTTCGCCTGGCTTGGCGTGGTCCGGGCACACGGGCCCCCGGATCAGGTAGGCTCCCTCCATGCAGCCTCTGTCTCGGGAAAGTCGGGCGCCTGCGCTCCAAGCTCTGGTGTGGCTTTTCGTAACAAAGCCTGGGAAGTGGGGTCCTCATGCTCTGCTGAGGGGCGCAGCTTGGGCTGAGCAGCACGCTCGGGAGTCTTGGTCCCGAAAGTCACGCGGCACTCAACTGGGGTTAGACGGGGGACCATTGACATACTGCGTTTTGGTAACGGTGGAAAGGCTAGAAAAGGGCGTCTGGGGTTTTCATCTTACCCTGCTGCTACTTATTTAGAGCTTCTTCCCCTTATTTTCTTCTTTTTAGTTAAATTTAATGGCCTACCTAGATTTGAGAAATCAGAGCATCAGCAGAAGTCCCCCGGCTGCATTGTCCTCCTGATCAGAATCCTTTTTTTTTTTTTTAATTTTATTTATTTATTTGACACAGAGAGAGAGATAGCAAGAGAGGGAACAGAAGCAAGGGCAGTAGGTAGAGGGAGAAGCAGGCGTCTCATTGAGCAGTGAGCCCCATGCAGGGTTAGATCCCAGAACTGTGGGATCATGATCTGAGCCAAAGGCAGACACTTAATGGCTGAGCCATCCAGGGACCCCTTAATCAGAATTCTCAAAGTTCTCCAAAAAACTGCAAAAGTCACGCGTGATAAAATTCTAGGGTGAACTACAACCTTGAAGTTACTGGTTTCTTGTAACCACTTCTCATGCCTGAGTTCTGGAGCAAGTCTTCAGGATCTGAAGGGCTCCGGAAGCTTCAGTAATTCAGAATAAACGGTTGGTGGGCGGGGTTTGCCGCAGCACCAACAGTCTGCTTAACCTGGAAGAGGAGCCCTCTCTCTGGGCCATGATACCCCAACAAACCATCCCAACGTGTGGGTGCTAGAGAGACAAATCACGATAAGCCTTCTATATGCTGGACTGTGGAATCAGACAAAAATAACTCAGTCTTTCTTTCACTTTGGGAGGCTCCCCGAGGAGCTCGGGCCATGCAGGTTCGGAATCACGTCTGACCAGTTACAGTATCAGGTTTGGCATCTGTATCTCCAAAATCTCTGAGCTGACGGTGTATTTAAAACCCTCTGAAATCAATAAATATATGCCGGAAATTTCGAGAACATGAGTTTGTTCACCCTGAAATAACCTATATACCTTATTGTTTCTGTGGTTGATGGAAAAATGGGAGTGTTTCACTTTGACGCTGCCTCTGTAGGAAGGGATCCACTCAGTTGTAGAAAAACCCAAAGCAACTGTGTCTGAGCTTCTAGCCTGGGGAGAAACCTGATGCCTCTCAGGAATGGGTCCTACTTTGCAATGAGTCACTGGAGCTGAGGAAGGAGCTTCCTGAGCAATGTTGTCAGTTATGAGATTTAAGAGGAAGATATATGAAAATAAATGATAGCCATCACTTAGATTATGAGATGAAAGGTAGTTTTTCATAATTATTAAAATTCAAGTCGTTTGCCATGTTTCACTATGGGGCCAGCTGAGTTCCCCTTAGACTAAATTTTGGTTCCTAACCTCCAGCAGTTTTCAATTGAAGAATTTCTTAATGCCGGGCCACGTGGGTGGCTCAGCTAGTTAAGCGTCTGCCTTCGGTTCAGGTTATGATTCTAGATTCCTGGGATGGAGCCCTGCATCGAGCTCCCAGCTCAGCCAAGAATCGGCTTGTCCTTCTGCCTCTCCCCAGCTCAAGTTCACACTTGCGGTCCCTCTCTCTCCCCCACCACCAAATAATAAACTAAAAATGAAATCTTAAAAAAAAAATAAAAATTTCTTTATGCCAAGGTTCATGGGCAATCTTACAAGTGCTAGAGTCTAACACTACTTTGCCAAGACGAAAGGAGCTTGGTCTAGAATTCATTGCATAAATAGCTTCTGCTTTGTGTAATGATTAGTGGTTGGCCATTGTTTAAAAGCAGGACACTTAGTCGGGTAGTGAAATAATGCAATTGAAGTGTGTGGCTACTCAGTAAAAAAAAAAAAAAAAAAATCCATTACCCACATTGATTTTTGTACTGGGATTAATAGAAACCCAAACCAGAGTCAGGATTGCAAAAACTAAAAATTTTGAAAAAGCATAACTTTATTATCTTTTAATAGGTGCTTGTTGGCTATGATAAATGCAACAAGGATGGGGCCAAAGCTAGCCATGAGAACCCCTTATTCACAGCCTGGCCACAGGGAGAAGATGAGCTGGTTTATCTGGATAGATTTGGGGTATTACCTTGGTCATGTCTTCTATGCATGCCTGTGGCTTCAACTCTCCACTGGTGCCTTCTGGAGTCTGATAGTTCTGAGGTTTCCCTACTCCACACTTACCTGACTGTGCTCGCAGACTTTCTTGCACGCTCAAGGTGGTTTGTCAATGTCTTTCTCCCTTTGCCTCCCTCTGGGATTACATCATTGATATTCTTCTTTGGTGTCTACCATTGGCACTGTGAAAACGTCATTGTTGTCTAGAGGGTCCCATTCTGGTGATGTTGGTGCTTTCCTATCACACAGTTATCATGAGAAGTAAAGAGTCTTGTAGTGAATGCAAGTCACGGTTATAACAGTATTTTCCTGAGGCAAGCTTGCTATAATCATGCCTTGTATATTCTTATCTTGTACAATTCTTGGATTACAATTTTTTTGTTTTTCAGTAGCTTGGTTCACTTTTACCTTTTCCAGTTTCTATACCTTGTGGAATATTATACTTGACTGTTTTTAAACATTTAAATAATAAATTCCAAAAATAAAGGACATCTAAGGCAGTTGCCTGATGTGGGGATATAGTCAAGCAATCTTTGACTTGGAAAGTGTCTACGAAGGGCTTTACTTAGACTGTGTCAACACACAGAGACTGTTTTGTAAGTAATTCTGCCTTATCAAACCCTTACAAACAAAACCTTTTTTGTAAGATAGAAACTTAATTTTAAAAGGCTTCTAGAGACTTCTGGGGAAGACGGCGGAGTAGTAGGAGGACCCTAAGCTCAGCTCCTCCCATGGATGTGACTAGATAACACTCGCATCCATGTAAATAACCCAGAAAAAGATCCAGAGGCCAGTAGAACAAACTCCACAACTAAATGTAGAGAAGAGGTCACACTGAAGAGGGTAGAAAGGGCAAAGATGCGGTCAGGAACCAGCAGACCCACAGGTTGGTCCACATCAGGAGGGAGCCATTCACATGGAGACAGAAGGGAAACAGACCCTCACACCAGGGAACCCACACTGGGAGGATGAATCCCCAAACTATTTGGCTTTGAAAAACCAGAGGGGCTGAATTCATGAGTTCTCACAACCAGGAGGGCTTAAAACCTGAAATTTTAAAAATCAGTGGGCTTGGCTCTAGGAGAACAGAGTGGGAGAGAGGACACTGACAGCCCCAGGCTCACTTAAAGAGACAGCACAACAAACAGCCCCATGGAGACCTAGCATAAAAGCAGCAGTTTGAAAAATGCCTGGGGCATACAGGAGGGAGAGTTATTTACTCATCTCAGAGCATGTCCTGGAGGGACAAAGATCACTGGGGGCCTCCTCCAGGAAGAAAGGAGCTGGCAGGCACCATTTCCCTCTCATACCCCTCCCGGCATAAACACACAGCCACCTGCAGGAACCAGCCCATTGCTGACACTCTCTATGGAACTTGCTAATTCTGCTTTGCCACTGCTCCACACCCTCCAGACCAACCTGCCTCGGTCCGAGCACTGCAGGATCCCTTTTGGTCAGAGCCCATCAGGGCAGGGCCACAGGCTTGGCAGGGTTCAAGCGGCCCCAGTTGGGAGGAACAGCACTCCAAAGTGACTCCTGCCCCGGGGGAGACAACCACACACAGCAGTCAGACTGTAGCCCCAGCAGTGGGCTCCGGAAAGCGATCTCGGGCCTGACTGCAGGCCCTGCCCACCAACAAAAACTTCTCAGAAGACAACACAGGGAGAGCAGCCTGCGGTTCTGTGCTACTACATCTCTGGGAAATGCCTGGCCTGACTCAACTCAAACCCAAGGCATCAAAGAACGGCCCACTGTTAAAACCAAGAGCAAACCCTGCCCACCACAGGCAAAGAAAGTCACTGCAGACAACTGGACTGAAGGAAAAGGCAGCTCAGTCCCTACAGCTGAGTGTGTACAACACAAATAGAGAACAGCCCTGGAGCACCAGGTTCTGGGGAACACTGCAGGGCTCTGCAGAACCTCTTCTTCATAAGGCCATTACTTTCCAGTGCAGGAGACAGAGCTGACTTTCCTGACACAGAGAAACAGATGCAGAGACTTAGACAAAATGAGAAGGCAGAGGAATATGTCCCGAATGAAAGAACAGGACAGATCACAGCAAGAGATATAAGTGAAATGGAGATAAATAATGTGCCTGATAGAGAATTTAAAAGAGATGATCATAAAGATACTCGCTGAGGAAAGAATGGAGGACATCAATGAGACCCTTAACGATGAGACAAAAAAAAAAAGGACTAATCAGAGATGAAAACATAATAAATGAAATTTAAAATACACTAGATGGAGTAAATAGCAAACTAGAGGAAGTAGAAGAATGAATCAGTGACCTAGAGGACAGAGTAAAGGAAAGCAATCAAGCTAAGCAGGTTGAAGGGGAAAACAACATGCAAAATGAGAACAGACTTAGAGAACTCAGCAACACCAGCAAGCATAATAACATTCACATTATAGGGATCCAGAAGAAGAAGAGAAAGAAAAGGGGGCAGAAATTTCATTTGAAGAAATAAAGCTGAAAATTTCCCATATCTAGAGAAGCAAACAGAAATCCAGATCCAAGAGGACAGAGAGCCCCAACAAAGTCAAACCAAGGAAGTTCCCACCATGGCACATAGTAATTAAAATGGCCAAAAGCAGTGATAAAGAGAGAATTTTAAAAGGAGCAGGGGAAAAGAAACCACTTACGTACAAGGGAAACTTCGTAAGGCTATCAGCTGATTTTTCAACAGAAACTTTGCAGGCCAGAAGAGAGTGTCATGATGTATTCAAAGTGCTGAAAGGGCCCTGAAACAAATAATACATTATATGTTAATTTAAAAAAAGTTCTGAAAGGGAAAAAAAAATCTGCAGGCAAGAATACTCTATCCAGCAAGGCTATCATGCAGAAAAGAAGAAATAAAGACCTTCTGAGACAAACAAAAGATAAGAAGTTCATGACCACTAAACCAGCCCTACAAGAAATATTAAAGGAGACTCTTCAAGTGAAAAGGAAGGACCATAAGCAAGAGGAAGGAATGTAGGAAGCCCAAAAGCAGTAAAAATAAGAATGTCTGTAAAAATCAGCCAAAGGACTCACAAAATGAAAGGATATAACCTATAACACCATATACTTAAAATATGGGGGCAAGTAGAGTAAAGAAGAGTTCAAATTTAAATGACCATCAAATCAATACATACAGATTGCTATATACAGATGTTATATACAAACTGAATGGTCACCACAAATCAAAACCCAGTAATAGACATGCAAAAATTAAAGAGAAAGGATTCCAAATATATCACTAAAGAAAACCAACTAATCATGAAAGAACAAGAGAAGAAAATAACGGAGAAGAACTACAACAACCACCATAAAACAAGGAACAAAATGGCAATAAATACTTACCTATCAATAATTACTTTGAATGTAAATGGACTAAATGCTCCAATCAAAAGACATAGGGTGGCAGAATGGAGAAGAAGAAGAAGAGGAGGAGGAGGAAGAGGAGGAGGATGAGAAGGGAGGAGGTAGGTGAGGTGGGAGGGGAAGGATAAGACACATCCAGACGCTGCCTATAAGGGACTCACCTCGGAACTAAACACATTTACAGATTGAAAGTGAAGGGATGGAGAAGCATTTATCATGCAAATGGATGTGAAAAGAAAGCTGGAGTAGCAATACTTATATCAGACAAAATAAACTTTAAAACAAAGATGATAACAAGAGACAAAAAAAGAACACTATATAATAATAAAGGGAAGAATCCAGCAAGAAGGTGTAACAATTGTAAATATTTATGCACCCAAATACTTAAAACAGTTAGTAACAAACATAAAGGAAATAATTGATTGTAATACAATAAGAGTAAGGCACGTTAACACCCCACTTAACATCAATGGAGAGATCATCCAAAGAGAAAATCAACAAGGAGACAGTGGCTTTGAATGTCACATTGGATCGGATGGATTTTAACAGATAGAGTCAGAACATTCCATCCTAAAACAGCAGAATACACATTCTTTTAAAGTGAACATGGAACATTCTCCAGTATAGATTACATATTATGCCACAAAACAAGTCTCAACAAATTCAAAAAGACTGAAATCATACCATGCATTTTTTTCCTGACCACAACACTATGAAACTAGAAATCAATTACAAGAAAAAATCTAGAAAGTGCACAAATACATGGAGGTTAAATAACATGCTCTTAAGCAATGGATGGATCAACCAAGAAATCAAAGAGTAAATTCAAAAATACACGGAGACAAATGAAAATGAAAATACAAGGGTCCAAAATCTTTGGGATGCAAAAGCATTTCTAAGAAGGAAGTTCTTAGCAGCACAGGTCAACTCAAGAAGCAAGAAAAATCTCAAAGAAGCAACCTAATGTTACACCTAAAGGAGCTAGAAAAAGAACAAACAAAATCCTAATCAATAGAAGGAAGGAAATAATAAAGATCAGAGTAAAAATAAATGATATAGAGATTTTAAAAGCAATAGAACAGATTGATAAAACCAGGAGCTGGTTCTTTGAAAAGATCAACAAAATTGATAAACCTTTAGCCAGATTCATCAAGAAAAAAGAGAGGATTCAAATAAACAAAATCATAAAAGAGGAGAAACAACAACCAACACCACAGAGATTTAAAAAAATTGTAAGAGAATATTGTGAAAAACTAGAGGCCAAGAAAATGGACAAACTAGAAGAAACAGATAAATTCCTAGAATCATATAACCTCCAAAAACTGTATCAGGAAGAAATAGAAAATATGAACAAGCTGATCATTGGAAATTGAATCAATGATGAAAAACTCCCAACAAACAAAAGTTTAGGACCAGATGGCTTCACAGGTGAATTCTGCCAAACATTTAAAGAAGAGTTAATACTTATTCTTCTCAAACTCTTCCAAAAAATTGAATAGGAAGGAAAACTTCCAAATTCATTCTAGGAGGCCCATATTACCCTGATACCAAAACCAGAGATACCAAAAAAAGAGAACTATATGCCAATATCTCTGATGAACATAGATGCAAAAGTCCTCAACAAAATATTAGCAAAACAAATCCAACAACACGTTAAAAAAATCATTTACCACAATCAAGTGGGATCTATTCCTGGGATGCAAGTGTGGTTCAATATTCAAAAATAAATCAACATGATGCATCACATCAACAAGAGAAATGTTAAAAATATATATATGATCATTTCAATAGATGCAGAAAAAAAATTTGACAAAGGGCAACATCCATTCATGATAAAAACTCTCAACAAAGTAGGTTTAGAGAGAACATACCTCAATATAATAAAGGCCACATATGAAAAACCCACAGCTAACATCATACTCGATGGTGAAAAATTGAGAGCTTTCCCCCTAAGATCAGAAACAAGACATGGATGTCCACCCTCATCACTTTCGTTCAACATAGTAGTGGAAGTCCTAGCCATAACAGTCAGTCAACAAAAATAAATAAAAACCATCCAAATTCGTAAGGAAGAAGTAAAACTTTCACTATATGCAGATGATATGATGCTATATATAGAAAACCTGGAAGATCCCACCAAAAAAACTGCTAAAACTGATAAATGAATTTAGTACGATCCCAGGATACAAAATCAATGTACAGAAATCTGTTGCATTTCTATACACCAATAATGAAGCAAGAGAAGTAGAAATTAAGAAAGTAATCCCATTTACAATTGCACCAAAATAATAAAATACCTAGAAATAAGCTTAACCAAGAAGGTGGAAAACCTATACTCTGAAAACTATAAAATATTGATGAAAGATGATACAAACAAATGGAAAGATATCCATGCTCATGGATTGGAAGAACAAATATTGTTAAAATGTCCATACTGCACAAGAACAAGAGCATTTTTTACAGAAATAGAACAAGTAATATTAAAATTTGTATGGAACCACGGAAGACCCAGAATAGCCAGAACAATCTTGAAAAAGAAAAACAAAACTGGAGGTGTCACAATTTCAGATTTCAAATTATACTACAAAGCTGTAGTAATTGAAATAGTATGGTACTGGCACAAAAACAGACACATTAATCAATGGAACAGGATAGAAAGCCTAGAGACAAACCCACAATTATACGGTCAGTTAATCTTCAACAAAAGAGGCAAGAACATGCCATGGGAAAAAAGACAGTCTCTTCAACAAATGGTATTGGGAAAACTGGTCAGCTACATGCAAAAGAATGAAACTGAACCACTTGCTTATACTGTAACAAAAATAAACTCGAAATGGATTAAAGACCTGAATGTGAAACTTGTAACCATAAATATCCTAGAAGAGGCAGGAATTTCTCTGACATTGGCATTTCTAGATCTGTTTCCTGAGGTAAGGGAAATAAGAGCAAAAATAAGCTATTGGGACTACATCCAAAAAAAAGTTACTGCCCAGCAAAGGAATCAACAAAACTAAAAGACAACCTACTGAATAGAAGATATTTGCAAATGATATAATGGGTAAAGGTTGGTATCCAAAATGTATAAAGAACTTCTATGATTCAACACCCATCCCCAAATAATCCAATTTAAAATTATAGGCAGAAGATATGAACAGACCTTTCTCCAAAGAAGACATCCAGATGGCCAACAGACACATGAAAAGAGGATCCACATCACTCATCATCAGGGAAATGCAAATCAAAACCACCTCACACCTTTCAGAATGGCCACAATCAAAAACAGAAAAAACAGCAAGTGTTGGTGAGGATATGGAGGAAAAGGAACCCTCATGCACTGTTGGTGGGAAGGCAAACTGACGCAAGCACTGTGGAAAACAGTATGGAGGTTCCTCAACAAGTTAAAAATAGAACTTCTCTAAAATAGAACTTGCACTACTTGGTATTTACCCAAAGAATACAAAAACACCAACTTGAAAGAACATATGACCCCCCTAGGTTTATTGCAGCATTATTTACAATAACCAAATTATGGAAGGAGCCCAAGTGTCCATTAATGAATGGATAAAGAAGATATGGGGCACATACAATGGAATATTGTTCAGCCTTAAAAAGGAATGAAATCTTACTATTTGCAACAACATAGAGCTAGAGAATATAACGCTGAGTGAAATAAGTCAGTCAGAGAAAGACAAATACCTTATGATTTCACTCACATGTGGACTTTAAGAAACAAAACAAACAAACAAAGGAAAGAAAAAGACACAAACAAAAAGCAGTCTCTTAACTGTAGAGAACAAAGTGATGGTTGCCAGAGGGGAGGTGGGTGGGGGATGGGTGACACAGGTGAAGGGGATTAAGGGTTCACTTACCATGATGAGCAGTGAGTAAGGTATAGATTTGTTGAATCACTATATTGTATACCTAAAACTAACGTAATACTATATGCTAATTATATTGGAATTACAGTTAAAAACTTAATTAAAAAAAAAAGACTACTCGTCTTGGGAAGTAGCTGTTTGGTCTGCATTAGTGAGCGCCATTTTTAACCTAACATCCGGCTCCTTTAACTGACAGCATGAAACTTAAGTACTTGGTCTTAGCTCTTCATGTATTATTATTTCAGTCAGTATGTTGAAATTGAATATTTTTCAGTCTTTTTCACTAGACTGGGCTCTCTGAGTGCACACTGTAGGTGCTCAGTGGGTATTTGTTGAACTAGAAACTGGACCTCATGACACTCAAGGCCAGAACCTTCTCATGGTAGCATTAAAGACAGTAATAACAAAAGTAGAATGGGATTTGGGTTTGGGAGTGATAATCTCCATGACAATATTTCAAGAGGAAACTGGTGCTTTCTTAGTCCTCTGGGATGTCATGATACAAATGAATTGCTTTTAAACTCATCCTCTATGGCTAACCGCGACCAGGTGCTGGGCTGGCCAGTCTGCAGTGCTCCGCAGTAGGGTGTTTATGAGCTCTGTCCTTTCCTCAAGGAGCTGGAGGAAGAGGTAACCATGGAGGACAGCCCCACTATGGCTAAAATGGACCAGGGTGAAAATCAGGTTTTACCAAGTCCAAGAAGAAGGTATCTCCCCAAGGCACTTGGCTACATCACTGGTGATATGAAAGAATTCGCCAGCTGGCTCAAAGGTATTTATGTTTCCCTCCCTGGGGGAGATGGGGAATTAGCTTCGGGGGAAATAGCTTGCTGGTTCTTCTACTCTTATCTTTCATTATAGTCCCCTGCCTTGTATTGACCTCTTTCCTCTCCAGTTTTTAACTTTTATTTTTTTTTAAGATTTTTATTTTTTTAAAGATTTATTTATTTATTTGAGAGAGAAAGAGAGAGAGCATGAGCAGAGGGAGGAGCAGAGAGAGAAGGAGAGAGCAGACTCCCCACTGAGCCTGAAGGCTGGCACAGGGCTCCATCCCACAACTCTGAGATCAGGAGCTGAGCTAAAATCAAGAGTTGGATGCTTAACTGACTAAGTTACCCAGGTTGCCCAAGATTTGATTCTTAAGTAATCTCCATACCAAACATGAGGCTCAAACTTATAATCCCCAAATCAAGAGCAGCACGTTCTACCGACTGAGTCAGCCTGGTGCCCCTAACTTTTTATCTTCTAACCTGCAAGCCTCTTCAGATATTTTTTTTGTGGAGATAGTGCTTAGAGCCAGAGCCCTACTCATATTAGAGGAATGCACCTGGCTCCATCCCATAATTTTAGCACTTAAAAACTGAAGTTTTACTATTGGTAATTCATTTTTTTAGCTTAAGAGTCTGTACCTCTGAGCATGGTGAATAAGGGCATTCAGTGCTTTCAGGGTGGGCACTGGGCGTGGAAAGGAACCGCTTGACTTGTCACTTCCTCAGCTCTGCCCGTCTCATCTCTTCCAGACAAACCACAGGTGCTCCAGTTTGTTGACTGGGTCCTTCGGGGCATATCCCAAGTGGTGTTTGTCAGCAACCCCATCAGTGGAATCTTGATTCTGGTGGGACTCCTGGTCCAGAATCCCTGGTGGGCTCTTAACGGCTGTGTGGGAACGGTGGTCTCCACTCTGACGGCCCTATTGCTTTCTCAGGACAGGTAGGTCCCTCCACCCAAGCCTGCTCTTCTTGCTTCTGAAAACGCAGGAGCCAATCCCTGACTCTGGGCATCAGTGACAAGGCCCCACCCTTCCCAGAAATACCCACCTTTATTTTACAGAAACTGTATTTGTCTTGAACCAGAGGTCAGGGGATTATTTATATATTTTATTCTTTCTCTTTAATCATTCACTAAATCATTCTTCTTCAATGATTAATCAATTATTTGTCATGAGCATTTTATTTGGGCAAGAACCTATATGAGTTCTTTTTTTTTTTTAGATTTTATTTATTTATTTGAGAGAGAGAGAGAGAGAGAGAGAGAGAGCACAAGCAGGGGGAGGAGTAGAGGGAGAGAGAGAGGTAGACTCCCCACTGAGCAGGGAGCCCAAAATGGGGTTTAATCCCAGGATCCCAAGATAATGACCTGAGCCAAAGGCGTAAGCTTACTGGACTGAGCCACCCAGGCACCCCATGCATATGAGTTCTTGAAAAGTCTTGGTGAATGCACATCTTCTGTTGTTCTAACTATGGCGTTCCACAACTTGCTGACGTGGCCATTAAAGCAATGTCAGTCAAGAATTCAGTCTGCAAGTCCCTTGTTGAGAAGGCAAATCTTTGCCTAGCTGTCCACTGTCCTCAAGTATATTCCCAAATTCTAGAAGAAAAGATCACTTTTAGGGTTAAACCGGCAAAAATCGCATCACTTCCCTACATGTCCCAAAAGATTAGTTAAGGAAGACAATAGGTCAACCTTCAGAAGTGAGGTTAAATGCCCAGCAACAAAAAGGAACCCGAGAATGAATTCGGTGCTGAGTGTGCGTATAAATGCAATACTCCGCCCAGTGAAAGTAATTGTTTTTCTTTGCAATAACTTGGAAATGTGTGTTTGGAGACCACAAAATGGAAACACAGGAAGATGAAAAATGTATGCTAAGTTGGAAGACTGATGTTTTTAAGGTCACAAACACTATGAAAATGAATTTACAGTTGGACAGTCTTAAACCTTTCACCAAGAATGTCAGACTTAGCAGTTAAACGGACCAGCTCTGTTCAGATCAAAGGCTCTTAATGACGCAAAAGAAATAGCAACTTTCTGAAGGAAAGGCTAAAGGAAGCAAAACAAGCCGCCTCGCTCATTTCCCTTTCTGCACCTGGATGCTGGAGTCCTGTCTGGCTAAGACACCTCTGTAGGGGGTTGTTCTTTAATGCACATCTGCATTTTATCCTCATCTACGTAAATTTCATTTTTTCCACAATTTTAATAGTGTTTGGCTTTTACAGACTTTGGAATCAATTTCTAAATATAATCTCGTTTTCTAATGTGAACATGATCTGAAAGTTACAAGTGTCATTTATGGGCAAGTCCTGCCAGCGTCCACGCAGGATGTGTCCATGCTATGCCTCTCGCCCACAGGTCGGCAATAGCCACAGGACTCCAAGGCTACAATGCCACGCTGCTGGGAATCCTCATGGCTGTCTTTTCAGACAAGGGCAACTATTTCTGGTGGCTATTACTCCCGGTGTCGGCTATGTCCATGACTTGGTAAGCAGTCCCTGGTTTTCAAAAAACGCCTTAAAAAAAAAATGTGTGGGTGGAGGAGGGATTGGAGAGTTACTGTTGAATGGATACAAAGTTTCAGTTTTGCAAGATGAAAAATGTTCCAGGAAGGGACAGCAGGGATGGTTATACAACAGTGTGAATGAACTGAATGCTAGTCAACTAGAGACCTTCATATGGTTAAAATGGTCAGTTATATGGTGCATATGTCTAACAATTTTTAGAAAAATGATTTTTTAAGATTCAGAGTCAGGTTAGTTCTATTGGAAACAGGAAGCATCACACACACCGATGCGTGCATGTGACCCTCCCCACACACCTCATCCCCTCACCCCCCAAAGATTCTGATGTAATTGGTCTGGGGTGTTGCCTGGCCATTGGGAAGTTCCCCCCCTCTTTTTTAAAATATTTTATTTATTTATTTGACAGAGATAGAGAGTGATCACTAGTAGGGAGAGAGGCAGGCAGAGAGAGAGAGGGGGAAGCAGGATCCCCGCCAAGCAGAGAGCCTGATGCAGGGCTCGATCCCTGGACCCTGAGATCACGAGCTGAGCCGAAGACAGAGGCTTAACCCACTGAGCCACCCAGGCGCCCTGGCCATTGGGAGTTTTAAAGGCTCCCGGGGGTTTCTAACACAACCAAATTTGAGAATCACGCCCTACATCAGTGGTCCATCGTGCGCACTACAGAATGACAGCAGGGCTTGTGGAAACACAGCCTGCTGCTCCCCTCCCCCAGAACTTTGGATTCAGTCCATCTTGGGTGAAGCCTAAGAATCCTCATTTCTAACTAGTTCCGAGGTGGTGTGGCTGATCCAGGGACTACACTTTGAGAACCACTGTGTGTGCCTGTATGAGCTCTCCTTACCCAGGTGCCCCTGTGCCTTCAAAGAACTGCTTTCCTGAATTTAATCCCTTTTAACCCTAAGTCCTTACAATTTGTTTCTTAAGTCCTTTTTTGTTTGTTTTATGGAAACATACATTTCCTTCCTGCTATGGCACGTTTAGAATATAAAATATGAATATCCACACGCATGAGTAGTACAGCCCACTCTGGACAGTGTCAGCAGAGCACCCCCCCTCCCCGCACTTGGCTGCACCCACAGGCATGGGGGAGAGAGTCTGCTGGCAGAGCCAATCTGAACAGGAAATAATTTCCAAAGAACAGGCTCAAGGACAGGAGGTGGGTCACCTGCAGGGACTCACCACACCCCTCTTCCCATGATCTGGAATTCAGACCTTAGTTGATGGGCCAATAAGTGAGAGCCCAAAAGGGGCCCAGAGACCATCTAATCTAATCTAATCCAGTCCCCCAGGCTACAGACAAGGAAATGGATGTGTAGTTCCTTGCCAAAGGTCACACAATTCACCAACTGCTTCAGATTTACAGCTGTTCCTCTCCCTCCGGCCCCCCTTCCCACCCCGAGTTTAAGATCTTTTTCCTCCAGCCCACACCACCTTTCATCCTCCCTTGGGTAATTGTTCCTTTTTTTCAAAAATAGATATACTAAAGACTCATGAAGATGACACAGAAATTCAAGATGGTGGTAGCCTCTGATGGGGAGGCAGCGGCTCATGATCATGTGCCATGATCGTGGTTACACAGGGGGCTCTAACTGGGGGGATAGTATTTCACCTCATACCTAAAATACTTCCAAAAATATTTCTACAGCCTAGATTTGCTAAGTCACTGTGAGCAACCCCAGAGTATAATTTTTCAAAAGTCAAACAAGCTAAGAGTTGATTATTGACTTTATGTAAGAATTATTCTCTGACAGGGTTTATTCCGCGTGTGTTTGGTTTTCTGTTCCAGTCTGGGGTTTTTGTGTTTTATTTTGTTTAGTTTCTTTTCCCCCTGTGAAAAGTTTGTTAAAACACCACGTTAGCATTTTGCCCATGAAACAAAGCCTCTCCACAGTGTAGAGATTCGGTTTGTCAACTGAGTTGTCACGAGCGTGAACTTCCCTTCTGTTCTGTGGTTGTTGTTGTTATTAGTCCAATTTTCTCAAGCGCGTTGAACTCCTTGTTCTGCAAATGGGATCTCCCAGTCTTCACTCTGCCCTTCAACATGGCGTTGTCGATGTACCTATCGGCCACAGGACATTACAATCCATTCTTCCCAGGCAAATTGTTCAAACCTGTAACCGCGGTTCCCAATGTCACCTGGCCTGAGCTCAATGCCCTGCAGGTAAGACACACTATCTTCTCGCATTCCTCCCTGACTCTGGAAGACACCCAGTGTCCTCCTGCTTGAGTGTTCTTGGGCATCAGAGCCTGACGGAGACTCTCGTCCCATAAACTGTTTATTTTACTCCAAAGCTTTGGGCTCTAAGGGTTTGTTTGTCATGATTATTATTGAAGTATAGTTAACATACAGTGTTGTATTAGTTTCAGGTGCACAGTAGAGCGATTTGACAATTCTATACGTTACTCAGCGCTCCTCGAAATACGTGCCCTCTTCATCCCCTTCACCGATCCACCCATCCCCCAACTCATCTCCCTCTGGTAACCACCCGTGCGTTCTCTGTAGTTAAGGGTCTGGTTCTAAAGGGTTTTTAAAATGATTGCTCAAAGCTAAGTTTCCACCTCTCTTCCTAAAAGCCAGTGCAGAGTATAGTGCCACTGGACATCAAAGACTCTGTTTCAGACTTGCCCCTTCTTTGGGTGGATGGGATGGGGGCCAGCCCTTGATGAAGGGCCTCCAGCCTGGAGTTAAGGCCTCCGTGACAGCCTCCTCTGATCAAAAGAACTGACAGCTTACGTAGATTTAAAAGTGGAATTCATTACAATGAAATACAATTAAAAATGCAGTTTCTTAGCCTGACCAGCCATACCTCAGGCGCTCAGTAGCCACCTATGGAATATTCTAGCACCACAGAAGTCCTGCCGGATGGTGCTGGTCTTCTTCTCCTCACTCTGAGCTACCACCCCAGCATCAGTGCCCTTCCTTCCCATTCCGCCTGACTCCCCACCTCCTGGCGCCCTGAGGGATAGTTCTGAGGGAAACTTCCATCAGTTCTGAGGGAAAGCCTATGCAGTCTTTGCCTGTGTCGAGGTCCCTGGTCTAGACAAATAGGAAATGATCTTGCGTAGACACGACAATCCACTGTGAGCTGGAAAATTCAGGGTCCATCCTAGGATAGAATCAAACTCTCAGTACCATCCTGGGCTCTGTGTTTGGAAGCCAGTGTTAGATCCCGCCTAACGTCTGAGGGGAGGGGGCAGTTCCTCCTGCCAAAGCAGGATCACCTGTAGCAATCACGGCCTCCCCAAGGTCGCTCAAGGGGTATACATGTGACCAGGGCAAGTGGACTTGGTCACAAAGGAACCTAATGTGGCTAATTATGCCTCTCCTGGCCCGAGCAGAAGTACCATTATAAAGAATTACTATTTGTTGGCTTAAACTGAACCCTATACCTTCCCCAAACTGCCATATTCTGCCAGCACTTAGCTGAAGTCAGGCCTCAGCCAGAACAGAGAATTGTGACATTCACGTGTAGTTGTGTGTTTTGAGGACTAACAGGAATTTGTTGATAACTGGAAGAAGCCAAGGATATTCTAGTTTAAATTAATACATGTTCTCATTAAGTATAAATAGGGTCCCCATTCATGAACTTGCCAATGATTGCTTCTGAATTGTGGATAAGATAACCTGGCTCTGGATCTCTCTCCTTAACAACCCGATTGCACAGTAGTAATAATACTTCTCTTGACCCTGATGTGCACGCCTGTGTTAGCCTGAGAATGACAGACAGTTAAGAGCCGCGGAGATGTCAGCTGTGGTCCCTGCCATCCTTGTTGGGAAGTGTGGCAGGTCCTGGCCATAAGACCAGCTAGGAGCCTCCCAGCAACCAAAGCCAAGTGGGTGTGCAGGCCTTGGAGACCCTGAGTAAAGGGGAAATCGAAGAAGGCAGGCTCAGCATTCGCCAGCAAAGGGCTGGTCTATTTCTCGGGATAAAGCTGAAGAACAAGATTTCGCTGTCAAGAGAAAGAGACTTTTAGAAATTAGTACCACTGGCCTCAGAAGACCAGATACACTAACTCTACGGTTACATTGTCTGTGCCTGCGGGTGTCCTGCGGCTTTCTGCTCAGTGGTGTTAACGAGCTCCTTTTCCAAACCACTTTGCAGTTACTGAAATCGCTGCCCGTGGGTGTGGGCCAGATCTATGGCTGTGATAACCCGTGGACGGGGGGCATTTTCCTGTTTGCCCTTCTGCTCTCCTCCCCACTCATGTGCCTGCATGCAGCCATCGGATCGCTGCTGGGGATAGCGGCAGGTGAGCAAATACAGCACCACATACTTCCCCCCGCTCCCCGCGCCCCATCCCCACCCCAGCCGCACCGCCACCCCTCACCCCGGGCATCTTCCATACTCCAGACTTCCTTGAGGGCTCCGCTTCCAAGGGACTGATCGGCGTAGCTTCCCCCACCCCTGGCCTCCTTTCAGAGTGCCCTGCCTTTGGTCCCGAGCCCTAAGCCCACCTGTCTTCTCTACTAGGACTCAGCGTTTCGGAGCCATTTGAGAACATCTACCTTGGACTCTGGGGTTTCAACAGCTCTCTGGCCTGCATTGCAATCGGAGGAATGTTCTTGGCTCTCACCTGGCAAACCCACATCCTAGCTCTTGCCTGTGGTGAGTGTACCCTGCATGGGAGGGAGGGTAGCTCCTAACTCTGGAATCAGTCCCCACAGTACAAAGGGACCATGTGAGACACTGGGGTTGCGGTTCCAGGGTGGGCTCCTGGCTATCTGCATGTGGGAGCAGGACGGGTGGCGTCCCCTCCCTGGGAGGGTTAAGCTCTGCTGTGCCCTCCTCACTGGCTGTCGTGAGGGCGGGAGAGGCTGTTGAGTCGTGATCACCATTTGCCATCTGCATATGAGGGGGGTAGAAATTCGACTCATTCTATTTCATCACACTCATGATCTGACCCAAGAAACTAGAATGGAATGACTCGGGCTAGATACAGAGCCATTCCTCCTGCTGAGCCAAATAGGACTACATGTGGCCGTCCAGCTGTCTCACGCTTCAGGGAGCTTCGGAATCACCTGGAAGGCTTGTGAAAACATGGATGGCTGCCCACCCACCCCCCAGTCCCTGATTCCTCCTACGAGGAGGAGTTGACATTCCTAACCAGGGCCAGACAGCACTGCTGCTGTTGATCTGGGGACGACCAGATGGTCCAAACCACTGTGTTCATCCCTTCTGACCCTGGTACTCCAGCAACTCAGCCGATCAGAGCTAGGAGAAGGTCTGGAGCTCTCCCACTCTGTCCCCCTCATTTTACTATTGGGGTTCCGAGGCCAGAGAGTGAAGTGGTGTGCTGAAGGGCATCCAGTCAATTAGGGTAAATGCAAGCCCAGAACCCACACTTGCTAACAACCTCTGGAATTACACCCCCCACACACTACTCTGCTTCCCAGTGGCAGCATTCAGGCCTCGAGGTAAAAACAGAGCTCAAGTGACCGTGGTTTGAAAAGCTGATGGGTTTCTCAGGCCCTTCTAAAGGGGAGGCTTATTCACCCAGAGGCTCTGGCATCCCTAATCCAATACAAAGTAAAAGTATTTAAGATAATCGGTTAGCGTGTAGGGAATGACCGTCCCTGGGGAATATGCAGCGGGGGAGGACGGACTGTGCAGAAATTATTCCTAGAAATATTTGTCTACAGTCAGTTTATCACCAGATGAATCGATCCAAGTTATCTAAGCCGCTACTAAAATGGCGGATCACATCTAGACATCCACAATGGAATACTACTCAGCCATAAAAAAGAATGAAATCTCGCAACTTGCACAAACACGGGTGGACCTTGAGGGTATTATGTAAGTGAGATAAGTCCAACAGAGAAAGACAAATACCATATGATTTCACTTACATGTGGGATCTAAAAAAAAAAAAAAAACAGAACAAAGCAAAACCCAGACTCATAAATGCGGGGAACAGATCGGTAGTTGCCAGAGGGGAGGAGAGAAGGGGGTGTGAAGGGGTAAAGGGAAGTATAAATTTCCAGCCATAAAATAAATAAGCCACGGGGGTGTCATATACTGCCTGAGGAACAGAGTCAGTAACATTGTCTTAATTTTGTGTGGGGGCAGACAGTGACGAGACTTTACCGAGTGGAGCATTTCACAGCATATACAAGGGCAGAATCACTGTGCTGTACACCTGAAACTAATATAATATTGTATGTCAATTATACCTCAATTTAAATACAAAAATAGAAGAGTAGGCCACATGTGAGGCAGGACTCAGAATGGATTCCTGCACTGGGCAGGAGGCAGGACCAAGGATCTCGAAGGCCTCACTGAGATGTGATTGTCCGAGGCTGTAGCTAGGTGAACACACCTCAGGTTGCCGTGGCAGGACCATGTACGTGTCATTTTGACCCTTTCTTTGTAGTACACAGCTGTTCCAGCGACTAAGCCTGTAAGAACTCTTGGCTCACTTTCCCACATTTGTTCACAAGCTTAGGGCCAAGGAGAAGATAGATTATGTGCCACCCGAGCTAGGCCAGGTTAGAAGCTTTATTGTGAGATGGTGTGGGGTTTCAAATCTCTATTTGAGGCACATACCTTAATGTGTCTGTGTTGGCAGGAGCAGCAAATACGTATTAAACACTCATGAAGCAGCCCAAATAGTTCTAGGAAGAGCTAGGAGCTTAGCAGGGTTAGATCCCAGAAGCTGTTGTGCCCAGTGTTCCGGCCCAGGGCTGAAGCCAGGTAGATGGGAGAAACCCACCGGAGACCACGAAAATATCTGTAGCAGAACAAGGACACATCTGCAGTACCAGCATCCCTGGGGAGAGCAGAACAGTTCAGAATCATCAAGAAGCACCTCCTAGAGAAGGTGGCTTTTTTGTACGTCCTAAAACCCTGGAGGAGAAAGTCCGGTTGGTGGAAGGGGCGGTCTGGGCCAGTGTTCGAACAGCCTGAGCCCATCCTCCAAGATCAAGCAGACGCTGTTTTGGACACAAGAGTTGTTGATGAGATCTTGGCAGGGTTTGGAAAGCAAGGCAGCCAAAGCTGTTCGCAGATGGGTTTCCTCAAAGCAGGAGTATCTTCGTTATTTTCTTCACTCCAAGAGCAGTACAGGCTTATTGCACAAGACAAAACACCAAAATTCAATCAATACAGAAGAATTTAAGGCAGAAAGTAAAAACATTCCATCCTTCTCCCTCAAGGCAACTTTTTGGCCTCCTTCTTATGAGGACCCTGTGGTTACATTGGGTCCGCATAATGGTTAGGGCAGTATACGGAATTCATGGAGAGCCCAGACCCTGGGGCCAAAATCGTTGAATTTCTGTCGATGTCGCATTCACCCCAACAGAGGCCGTAGGATTTCCCCAGCCGCAGACAGTGTACGAGAGGGGCTCTTTCATCCGCTCGGGGTACTGCCCGTCTCCTCCGTCTCTGCACAGAAAGCGTTGAGGCAGACTTCGAGCCCCTCTGGTACAGCAAGCCTCCCATGGGAAATGTCACAGCAAGCTCCAGCTTGCCCATAGCCCCCTGACCCTGCCAAATGAGAGACCAGCCCTGCCAGCCAGGGTAAATAAATAACAGCCATTTATTACAGAGTTGCTCCTCCGCTGGTTCCGATGGCCTTATCAGGAAGGGGAGCCGGGGACTCTGATAGGGCCCAGCAGCACCGCCTGCTCTGCCTCCAAACCGGAAACTGCCCACCGGGGAAGTCCTCAGCTTTGTTATTTTGTCAGGGCAAACGGGAGAAACATTTTGTTTCTTTTTGTTCATTTTTTCTTTTTATCTAGAGTTGGGGAGGGGCAGAAGGAGAGAGAGAGACTCTTAAGCAGACTCAGCAAGCCTTAACTGATGGGCAGCCACTGTTCGACAGTCTGACGCTCTTACTGTGGAGAGAAAAGCAACTCGTAATCGGAGACCACTTGGAAACAGCAGAGCAGGAAGAGAGCAGGGCGGGAACTGTGCCTTCCAAGTGCAACCGGTGTGAAAAGGACAGGAAGGGCAGCGAGGTCTCATGCGCTTGGGGGAGGTCTCGGAGGAGAGCCGGAACGGAGAGAGCAGGGCAAGTGGTCTGGTGCTTACCTGAGAGCGGGTGAATATGTGTTGAATGAGCGAGGGAGAGAAGGAAGGAAGGAAGGAAAAAAAGAAGGGGAGGGAGGAAGGAAGGAAATGGAAAATGAAATGACCGAAACCAAACAAAGCTCTTCCAGCCCAAGCCACGGCCCACTTCTGCTCAGGGCAGCGTCCCCGTCCGCCCGCTCCCGGGACGGGGAGGGTGGGCAGCTGCCGTTTGTGGAAACAGAGGACTGCATTTGAGATTCATCTCCCCGCAAAGCGCATCTTCAGGTTGCCCTTTGCAGACGGCAGCACTAGATTCCAAAGTTCAGTGATTTGTTGTACGATAAAATGGAGAGCTGGGGTTTGAAGCCCCTGCTGCTTCCAAGACAAGCCTTTCCTGCTAGCCTGAGGCGATTCAGATGTAGAAGAATTAGGTATACTGTTGAACAACAACAACAACAAAAAACAGGAAAAAAAAGACCAAAGATTGATGAAAGGATGGAAGTCTACGGTCAAGTAAGTAGGATCAGAGTCCCTCCCCCCACTTCCAGGCCCTCCCTGCATTGGACTCACTTCTCCCTGCCCTGGAGGTCTGGGTGGTGGGTGTGTCTAACAGAGCTAGCCGTGGCCCAGGGGGCTGTGTGCCCAACCCAGGGAGGTTATCCTGCAGCCTGCCTTTGTGAAACCTGGGCTTCCCTGAGCTGCCCTGAGCCCCCCTCTTCAATGGGTGATTAGCCACTCAAGATCTTTTTTTGTGTTGTTTTGTATTGAAGGTCACATGTAGACTCAAATTACCTGCTTTAAGATTTTGCTCAGAGTAAATAAAAACACAGCATATGAATTCATTACCCTGTATGCCAATCTTAATGATATTTGGGACAATGTTATTATGGGGAGAAATTCCGAGTTTGTGGTCAGTTTCTGCTATCTTTTTATTTTTTTATACCATGATTTTTTGTAACTGTGAATCCTAACCATTAATGTGAGATTCCTAGACGCATATATTGTGATTGGACAGAAACCGTGCTATCTCAAGAAATATTCATGTTTCATTTTTTAAAGATTTATTTTAGAGAGAGAGAGAGAGAGAGAGCGAGCACGAGTGGGGGAGGGGCAAAGGGAGAGGGAGAGAAAACTCGAGGCGACTCCATACTGGGTGTGGAGCCGGAAGTGGGGCTGGATCTCACAAGCCTGCCATCGTGACCTGAGCCGAAATCCAGTATCAGGCGCTTAACCGACTGAGCCACCCCGGGGCCCCCATCATTTTAATTCAACTATGTTCAGAAAAAAATAACAGGGAAGTTTATTTGCCATGGAAGGGCTTTTCCTTAGGGATCAGCGATAATAGCAACAGAATAGTAACCACAGAAAAGCTCCCTTTGCCGAGTACCTCTTACTGTGTGCCAAACCTAAATAGTGTCTCCTTTCCTGATGGCACCAACCCCCTGAGAAATTCTGTCACCTCTATTGTGCAGGTGAGGACGTGGAGGCTTAGAATGAAGGCACCAAGCTCCTAAGTGATAAGGTCTGGATTTGAACCCAGAGCGTCTATGAGCTCGCACTTGTAACCAGGGTGCTGAGCTAGCTGGTGAAACATGGATTTCCAGATTTATACCAGAACGCAGTCTTCCCTACAATGAAAAGTGCACCTACTAAGTCTTGTTGTTTCCCCTTTTTGTAGCTCTGTTCACTGCCTACCTCGGAGTCAGCCTGTCCCACATGATGGCTGTGGTGAGTTGGCTTTAATCTTGCTTTATCATCAGCGTGATTGATCTGTTTATAGTGATGTGGAAACCTTTCTGAGGTCTCACTGGGTGGTGTCCTGAACAGGAAGGAGTCAGGGCTGTGGTCACCATGACTTTCCCATCTCCTGGGCCTGCCTGTTCCACACACCTTCTAACATCATAATAAATTTTAGTCTAAGCTACAATCACTGGGCTTGCTAAAAAATATCAGAGTGCGTAATTTAAAGAAGTGAAAGTTAGCCTGTATAATGTGTTTCTCAAGTTCACGCCATAATTTTGAGTGTTAGGGAACTGACTTTAGAATATCTTCTACTTGAACAGAAAGCCAGAACCATGTAGTGGTTGAGAAATCAAGAAAAGGAGGAAAAGGATAATTGGCTATAGATCCAAATGGTTTGGGTTTTAGTTTTAATTGAGCCATTCATTTTTCATACCCCTTGTCTTTTTCTAAACCCCCCGTCTGTCGTCAGTAAGACCTACTCGGACCCGTGTCCTAGCTGAATTGTTTCATAGGCAGAATCACTGCCCATTCAGTGCCTCCTGCCACTTTCTCCCTCCTTTTCGGCACTGACTTGCCCTTGACCTTCTCCTTCAGAGCTGCATGAGTTGCCGGGAACAGCCCCGAGGAAGGACCTCCCCTCCAAGAGCTCAGAGTCTATTTGGGAACTGGAATGGAAGGAAGGAAAGCCAGTAGAGTCCAAGACTGGTCTGGGTGGAAAGCAGGAGGAGAGAGGTCACCATGGCCCGAACTAATCAAAGAGGGCCCTGGGAGTGTGATGAGGGGTCTTCCTCCCACATGTGGTGCAGGAAGCTTGACTGGATGAGAGGGAGGGAAAGATGTGCAAGGTGGACATGCAACCGACCCCCTAAGGGAACGGACGGCCGCATTTCCCCTGCTAAATGCAGTCTGACTGGGATCTCGGACTCGGTCTTGGTGGGCAGAAGCAGCATCCGGACCAACGGCCCAGGGACGCCTCCCCCTGGGCTGAATGAGAATAGGAGGAAGGGTGGTGCTCTGGGACAGGATCGCACAGAGCCTGTGGCTTTTCTCTTCCTCCTCAGGTGGGGCTGCCGGCTTGCACCTGGCCCTTCTGTTTGGCCACACTCCTCTTCCTCTTGCTGACCACGAAAAACGACAACATCTACAGGATGCCCCTCAGCAAAGTCACTTATCCTGAAGAAAACCGCATCTTCTACCTCCAGGCCAAGAAGAAAAGGATGGTTGAAAGCCCTTTGTGAGCGCAATCCCCACCCACAGCCAAAGTCCCAAGGGGGCACTGACGCGGCTGACTGCCTCACGTGACTCCCAGGGTCTCGGCAAACTGCTGTTTTTCACTAGCAACAACATTCACACTAACCCATTGGCAATCTGCTCTTAGGCTCATTTTTGTGGCTTTCTTTTAGACTCCAGGAACATCCCCAAACGTGTGAGAGACACGTCCAGATGGTCTGCCCTGGTTGGGGCGTGGGTGCTAGACATACACTCTACTTATAAAGTCAAATGCTCCAACAGAAAGAAGACGTGAGACCAGAGCTCACTATTTCTCGATATTCTTGGTGTTTGGTTGGCTGCATGATACTGACAGTATTACAAATTAAGCTCTACAAACCAACGAAGCCTTCAAAGAATGGAATTGGTGGTCACAAATCAAAGTCAACCCAGAATTCTCTGATAAGCAGTTTGACTTGTTTAAAATCAATACAAGTTCCGTGGGACAGCTGTGGCGCACACAGCTGGTTCTCCAGCTCCGGGGCAGAAGGGCCTGGATGCGGCCCAATGTGTGTGAGGCATTCTACAGGAGATGGTTGATTCTTTCCAGGCTGACACATTGTGTGGGAGGGAGAAAGGGATTTTATCAGTCAGAATGACTCTGTGGTGTTATTTTTCTTAGAAATCGCAAAAGACATTTTAGATAAAGTATATGATCTTTTTCTTAGGAGAATGGATTTGTTTCAATGAGGTAAAATAGAAGTTCTGGTTTCACGAGCCCCAGGTTATTAAAGAAAAGTTGCATTTTTTTATAAAATACTCAGCATAGCTCTTTTTACTTTAATCCCCAAGTTGATTCTGTAAATGCCATGAATGCCTAGAACCAAGTCATCAACCTCCAGGGCCCTTTAAAACCACATTTGGAATTCATCTGAGGATGTCTTCAACCTTATAAAGACTGAAAATGAAGGTCAGATTGTTTCTGGGTGCTCGGAAGTTGTTGAGTTTCTTACTTTAAAAAACAAATTCATTATTTTTTGCACGCTCACAATATTCTCACTCAGAAACCTGACAAGACATACCAGTAAAGGGTTCTCCTGTTTTTCTTCGCTTTAATTATAAAGTTATCGGTCCTATAAACATTCTGTACCTGAACATGTTGAGGACGCCGTGGAAAGTTTGCTCACTACCTTCTAGTTCAGTCTTTATCAACTCAGTATTTTGGGGGATTCAAAAAGAGAAACCGTAGAAGCCTAAAGGATTTTTCTCCTTGGAGTTTGCCAGGCTCAATGCAAAACACACAGTTTGATGCATGAAAAAACAGAAGGGAAGGAACCCTACAAATATCTTGGGAAGAAGTCCACATCTTCCTTTTCTCGGGGAACACAAACATTGCTCCACTTTAACAACGCTGCAACCAAAGCCCTTTGAAGCCCTGAATTTGCAACTCTCACAGTCATGTGCATGCCTGTGGAAAACTAAATTTTTAATCGTTCAGATGGACATCTCCCTTGTTAGGGAATTTGTGAAATAAGATTGGGGAGAGAGAGAACACAAAAAAGCAAGCAGAACCAAAGATAACCACAAGTGAAGAACCTGGGCCATGGTTGAGCGACCCAGAGCCACTAACGTGTCTTCAGGCCCATCTTCGCAAGGAGATCAGGAGTGTTCTCTGTGCCTTCTCCTGGTGCGCTCACACAGGCGTGTAAATGGGAACATTCTAAAGCCTTGTACATTGTCTAATTTAAATGGTATTAATTTTCTCAGGCTATTTTTGTTACTAAGTATTATCCTGAAATAAAGTGAGTATTTTGTTAGTTTTCTTAGGGATCACTTGTGTTCTTTCCTATTGTCTGTATAACCAATTTCCGACTAAGAATATGAATAAAATTATACTCACAGCTCAGTTTTGTGTAAATTTTAAAAGTCCCATACGCCTCTTATAGCTATCGTGAACATTCACAATCACATGCATATGTGTGTATTGCTTAGAATTGCTTATATTTCGATGTACTGTATCTTTATTCCTTTCTTATACATGGTACAGGACCAGATGTGTTGCTGGGCAAACCCTGTTCAACTCAGAGGTATGGACGCATCCCTGCGGGCCTTCTCTCAACTCTGCATTGTTCTTCTCGCTCAGGGATGAGAACAGATTCCTTAGGGCAGTCACCGATGCTCAGCACACATTGCCAACACTTTGAGATGAACATGCAGGCAGCTTCTATGTGTGTCCTACAAGCCCCGGGCACCCCCTGGCCGCAGGACTGAGGCTGGGCACACCTAAGTGGTGAGTGTCCTGGGAGGAGCTACTTCTCAGATTGAAGGCGAAGCCACGCTCCCCTCTGCTACCTGAAGCACTTCCCTCCCACCTCCCTTCATCTGTGGTTAGTGGGCTTGAAAGAAAACATGGTAAGAATGGAAAGTCCCTCCAAGTTTCAAAAGCAGCCCAAACAAGGTTGGGTTAAGAAATAAGAAGGTCACAATGGATTAGCCCCATTGGAGTGCCCTCTGTCAAAACAAAACCTCTCCAAGGGGCGCCTGGGTGGCTCAGTCAGTTGTGCAATGGACTCTTAATTTGGGATCAAGTCATGTTCTCAGTGTTATGAGTTGGAGTTCTGCCTCAGGCTATTCCCGGGGTGTGGAACCTGCCTGAGATTCTCTCTCTCCCCCTTCCCCACCAACCCTCACCCCAGCTCACACACATGTGTGTGCTCTCTCTCTCAAAAACAAACAAACAAAACAAAAAATACCCTCTCCTACCTATTGTTTTAAGACAATAAGTTTGTGAGAGTGATCTGGTCATTAAATGCCCTCTTTCGCCTGAGGTAGAAAACAGAGAGAAGGTTTTAAGGTTCTTCAGCTAAAGACTTCAAATGCTCTATAAAGTTATCCATGGTACCTGATTAGCATGAAATATGTTGAGGTAGGAGGTTAAGTTCAACAGGAGATCAGAATTTTCCAAGGTGGCTTCTTACAGACAACCCTGCAGGAATATTTTTGGGATGGTTAAGTAGAGCACAACGTTTTAGGCATAAGAAAGTTTTCAGCCTTCCCTTTAGTCCAACGACTTCCTTCTAAAAGGCTTTCGTCTTTAGAGAGAAATCTGCTTCTTGAACCTACACCAACACCTCCTCCCATCCCCGATCATTAGAAGGCTTGCAGCTTCAAGGCTAGAGAATGCCATTTGCTAACAGTCACCAGTACAGATCCTGAAGAAATTTCAACAAATAGAATAAATAATAGACTTTGAAAGATGTGGATTTAAGTCCTATAATAGTCTGCTTTCACCAGCTCTTAAAATTGAACTACAAATACAGGTAGCAGATCAAAGCAGACATATGTGAAATCATCTAAAAGAAAAGACTGCTCCTGGGTCTGACCCTCACCTTACTAAGTGTTAACCAGGGAAGTGTGAACACAGCCAGAGCATCTGATGGGAGAACAGGTCAACCACAGAAGCTTAGGAGCTGGAGGCAGACAAAGGCAGGAGGTCTTCAGCTCTGGGAGTCATGGCCCAGGAACAGGTGTCCAGGGATACCCCGTGGCGGAAATGGGCACACTGAGGGGATCACAGTTTAGCAAACGTAATCACTTAGATCAAGAGGCTAATGCCCCTTGTTTGAGCCTGTACTCCCAAGCTATTTCACTTCCTGTGTAGATTTGCCTTCTAAGGGAAACGCACTTGTCCATACTTGTGAATTTCTGACCCGCAACAGTTACATTTCTAGTTTTAATTAATAATTCCATTCTGAGAATAGGTTTTTTTTTAAAAGATTTTATTTATTTATTTGATAGAGAGAGATCACAAGTAGGCAGAGAGGCAGGCAGAGAGAGGGGGGGAAGCAGACTCCCTGCCGAGCAGAGAGCCCGATGCGGGGCTCGATCCCAGGACCCTGGAATCATGACGTGAGGTGAAGGCAGAGGCTTTAACCCACTGAGCCACCCAGGTGCCCCTGAGAATAGGTTTTTGTAAAGGGTTTTGTTTTGGGGGGTTTTTGCCTGTACGTGTCACCAAAACCCAAATCAGCCCATGGTGTTCCAACGAAGTCAAGTTTCTGAGGCTACAAAGGTGGGTGGAGTGGAGGGTAGTCATGGAAGACCTTCCTGAGGATGGGAGCTTTAGGTCAATACCTAAAGAGCAGGCCAGAGATGGGCTGGTGGAGGAAGGTGGGGGATGGAGGGAGCAGTGTTCTTGGCAGATGGAAGCTCATGCATAAAGGCCTTGAGATAAGGAGATTTATGTTTTCAAGAAGTGAGAGAAGACTGACATGGCTGCACCGTGGTAAGTGGATTGGGGTGGATTGGCGTGGATTTGGGAAATCAAGTAGACCATTCCAGTAACACAGGAGAGAGGTAGTTGGCTCAGACTCCGGTGAGGGCAGGGAGATGGAGAGAAGTTGATGGGTGTGAGAGACAAGAGGTGGGATCCTCAGTACTTGGTGATGGATTCATGTGGGAAGTGAGGGAAAGGGAGATGTCAAGGAGCGTTCCCTGAATTCTCACTTGGGTCACAAGGTGGATGGTGGTGCCGCACAGAGATGGGAGCACTGAAGAGTCACTTCTTCTCTTGTGCTATACATCTTCTTATCCAATCCCATCTTTCCAGAGTTTTAATCCAGACCCTTTCTTCAATGGTCTATGGGGACTGTTCCAAAAGTATCAATTTCAACACATCCAGGGCAAAACTCATCTTCTTCAACTATTCCACTCTCCCCTCTGTGCTGAGTTATGGGGAAATATAACACCCTCTAGCTTACTATCCAAGCCAGAAACAGTGTGCCATTTTTAGCTTCATTCTCTCACCTCTAGGCTATAGCCAAATTCTAGGGATTTTACTTCCCTGTTAGCCCCCATTGGTTCAGTAATTGGCAAATATTTATTGAATAACTATTTATTACATAATAGGAACTGGGACTGCCATAGTGGACCCGACCGTCATGGCCACTGCCCTCACAAGAACTTTATGAAGTGAACCGACAAGTAAATGAGTAAAGGGAGTAGTGTGGTAATGTGGATGAGTAAGAGGTAGCTGGACAACAAGGTTGAAGAGGGATTTCTGTGACTTCTACCTTCTAAGAAACAGAAGATAAAAACATACCATTAAGTACCAGACATCCATACCAGTCTGCAGGCTTTGGGCAGCAAGTAATAGAACAACAGTAGTTTCAGTCTTAAAGCAAGAAGTTCTGTTCCAAGTTTAGTGCAACTGCTCAACAATGTCATCAAAGATACAACGTCCTTCTATCCTCTTCAGCATTCTCAGCATCTTCAGAAGACTTCATTTTCATCCTTGTTGCCTCATGGTCCCAAAACAGATGCCTTGTTATAGACATCACAACCACATCAGAAAGAAGGAGGCAAGCAGAGTTGCAAGTGAGACATTCTTTCGTGTCTCTCTCTTTTTATAAGGGAGGAAAATCTTCCCCAGAAGCTTTCCCCAAATCCTATCACTTGTCTCTTTTTGGCAGAACTGGGTCATATGGATGTTCCTGACTGCAAAGGAGTCTGGAAAAGCATGGATCTGGCATTGTTGGCCTCTACTGTGGCAGGTGAGCTCCACCATATTGCCAGGAAAGCAGGAGGAATGGCTATTGGACAAGCAGACAAACATGGGTGTCACAGTGGGGTACATAGTATACAGTCCCTTTGTGCCCAGACCACAGTGGAGAGAGCTACATGGTGGCAGACAAGACTGTTTATAGTGAGGTTCACAAAGGGGTTTGGGACAGAGAACTAAATCGAGACCTTTTACACAGAAAGACTTTGTGGAGCACTTGCTGGAATATTCCCAGAGTACTTTAGGATACCCCAGCTTCATACAAGATTTTGTAGCCTCTGACTAACAAGATTCTAAGCAAAAAGTGAGGCAGCCAGCAATAATGATCAGAGCAAGGTTTAAGTTTAGGGTCATTTCATGCCTTAATTAGTCCTCTCCATCTAAAGAGTCGAAGCCTCTAAATCATTCGAGGTCAGAAGCCTCCCCTGGGAATAGTTGAGTTTCAATTCAATTCCAGCTCAATGAAGCACTGAAAACAAGTGGCTGACAATTTCTGCCTCATGGCTCCTAATAAACAATGAGAAAGCCCATTTCCTGTTTAGGTTGGGTCCATTGGATCCTAGCCCTTAGAAGCTTTGAATTATATCACAGTGACATGCAAGAACTTGAAGGGGAAGAAATGAAGCACAGAGGAAAGTTGGCACAGTGTCAGGAAATCTGGCTCAAGTTAAGTCCCTCAGACCACAGGACACAATGGCAGCTAGGACATGAGTCAGTGACCAAAGAACAAGCACATCTTGGGGCAACGAGCGCACATACAGGCAGGTCATAGGAGTGGCAAATCCAGTGAGGAGACCTTTCCACCTTCTGAGACCCCATGCTGGTGTCTCAACAAGAGGGGAGATTTGCGGTAGCAAGTAGCCGCACACAACACTTGAAATAAAGCCAGCCCCAGCTGAGGTGTTCAAAAGTATGAGCATGAGTATGCTCAAAAGTACACACTGGATTTCAAACATAGAAGACCAAAAAAATGAATAAAT